GGTTTGTGCCCAGATGAACTGAGCCAGTAAGGACAGCTATATATTTCCAGTTAAATTTAGCAGTGTGTTAGAGCTGGTACTAATGACTGTGCAAAGTGCAAGACATGAAGAACCAAACTCAAAGTGTGGATGAATGTGGATATGACTGTGTGTCTCTGTATATATGTGTGTGTGTATATATATACATATTTTTTTCCTAATAGTGTTTTATATTTATTGACCAGTGATGTAAAAAAATATAATTTTAAGTTATGAAGATGTTTATAGTGGGGTTAGAAGTCACAGAATTCAAAATTCTGTGCTGCACCGCGTTACCCATTCTGGTGTGGTTTATTACATTAATAGTCATTTCAGAGAGGCACTTCAAGCCCAGCTCAGGGCAGGCAGTGTTAGTGCAGCCACCATCTGAATCCCTAAAGAAAGAATTTCCTGTATTTCTAAATGATGCATTTAAGCCTTTTCTGGGGCTTATAGGGCAGCTGCTCTCCAAAGGTGATCACAGCAGATCATGCAGCATATTTCAGACCTTTTCCTGTCACTTCTTTAGTGCTGGAACACAGAACTACTTCACTGTCTGTGCTCATGGAAACTCTAGTGATAAGTGTAGCTCTTAGTGTTGGAGTCAATGAATTGCTCCTCCTGAAGAAAATAAAACAGAAAGGGGAAAAGTGCAAGAAGAAATATTTAACTCAGTGATGAGGTAGAACAGCACTGATTATTGTGCTTATTTTACTTCTGTGTCTGTCATATATGGGCTTATTAGTGGACTCTTGAAACATTCTAGAACAGCAGTGTTTGCAATACTCCTTTTTTGTTCATCTTTTGTTGCAGAGCTGCCTTTTTTTGCAATGGGCTGAATTTTTTCAACCAATTTGTATCGCCTGTCAAGAATTTTCATGTGACTCTCGGAATCCTGCTGCAGAGTCTTCCCTATTTGCTATTCAGTCCTGTTTTCTTCTCCCTTTAGCAGGTAAGAACATCTTCTGCAACACTGCAACTGGAAAATGTTTCCAATTTCAGACACCTGCAGAGCTCTGTTTTGTTGGACTCAGGAGGGTTAACATCTCTCCTTCAAAATTTCCCACAGAACCCACTGTATCTTCTGCCATAGGGAAATATCTGAATAATGATGCAGTACTTTGGGGGTTTTAGCATCACTGCATGTCAGTCTGCATCCCTCTAGCTTTAGTGCAGCTTAAAAAAGTGGCATGCATGAACTTTCAGCTGGGAAGCTATTTACAGCTGAATCAGGATTGTGAGCAAGCAATATAGAAAATTGCTTGAATTTCTGCTGTCTGAGTGGAGCCTCTAAATAACTTTATGTCCTTGGGCCGGGGGAGGGGGGGGAAGCCCTGAAGAGGAGAGGCAGAGTGGGTGATGGCAAAGCTTGGGTGTTCCCCACCGCAGCAGCCTGGAGCTGAAGGAAAGGGTTCAGATGCTGTTCACCAGGATCACAGTCACCGTTGCAGAAACGGATTAAGCTGCCCTGGCTGACTGTGCACTGAAGCATATGAGGAATTCTCAAGTGACCTATATATGATTGATGTATACATGGGTGTGGCAAGAAGGGGCACTGAACAGCTGAGCAGTAGTAATGTCCTACACAGCTGCAGCTGTTTCTGCAGAGGGGTTTGGCACAGTTCCTTAATATTCATGGGTAGAGTTGGGTTTGTGTTCGAGATTCCATATTTTTAGGAAGGAGGAAATTTTTTAAGATTTCTTGAGATCACTTTTGTTAAATACTAGTCATCAAAGGAGAGCGTGTATGGAGGGGTGTGAGTGCATTTATGTGAAAGGAAAGTAAATGTGCTTAATTTGTCTCTGATGTTGTTCTGTTTTTCTTTTAACATTATCACTGCATGCAGTAGCTCTTATTTTTTTTCATAGCAACTTAGAAATTTTCTCAGAAAACAATTGCCAGTTTCCTTCTCCAAAATAATTTTCTTTCTGAGCATATTAAGCAACTTATTTTCTCTTAAAGATTTATTTACTATATCACTAATCTGCATAATCTAACATCTGCCATGGCTTCAGCTTTTTTTTTAAGGAAAGAGGTCTTTTCTGAAGGGTTGGCTCCTGAAAATTTCTGGTTTGATTTACTTGGCAGTATTGCATGGTTTCTTCCAAATCTGTATGGACTGGTAAATGATGGGAATTCTTATTCTGTGCTGCTTTATTGCAGTGATAGCTGTGTTTTCCTACAGTGTTACTTGGTCTCATCTCAGGCTGCAGGGGTAAATGGTCCACTGTGATCTGCAGTTTGCCAGAGCCTTGAATGATAATCATGCAGTCACAGTTTTGGTTTGGAAGGGACCTCAAAGATCATCCTGCTCTAGCCCCTCATGGGCAGGGACACCTTATACTAGACTAAATTGCTCCAAGCCCCATCCAACCTGGCTTTGAACACTTCTAGGGATGTGTGCAAGGCTGGGATCTTCAGCAGAATGTAGCTTGGTCTGTAAACTTGGCACAGATCATCATAGAATCATAGAATTTTCATGTTTCAATGATGTTTCAAAGTGAGAGATAAACGAGAGAACTCATTTTTACTTGGGCTGCATTTTTTTTCCCTAAGGATTTCCAGGGTATTGTTAGCTGCTGCCATTCTAGATTCCCTGAGAAGCTAGTTAAGGATATCAGTAGCAGAGAGGGGATATTGTACAGTGGGAACTTGACAGTCCCAGGTCATGGAGAGTAAGGGCATCACTTTTCTTTCTCCTTATAAGCAATTCATCTGGAAATGGTGAGGGAAGAGTAACTCAGGCAGGAAATACCTGCTGCCTCTGCCTGATTTACTTCAAGTGTACCCAGTAAATTTCAGCCCTGTTGAAACAAATACCCACATCTGCTGTTAACTAAGTTAGCAGTCTAACAACTAATCTGTTACCAGTTTGAGTTCTGTCAGCAGCAACTCCAAATACAGCTGCTAGGAGGATTCTTCCACTGCCAGCAGAACTAAAAGCTGCTGTAATGTTTCATTGAAATACTTTGAAAGTTCAATGTGAACACCCTCTCTTTGTTTTGTTCATTGTTAAACTTTTTATTCTTGGTATTCTAAACAACTGCCCCTCAGAGTAAACAGAGACACATGTGTAATCCCTCTGTTTTTAGTGGTGCATTTGCAAACTATCCCACTGTAAACTGTTTATAGCTTACTATGTAATCTGTAACCTTGTTGGGATGGACAGTCAGATCAGGGTTCCCACCATGTGAGGAGACATTATTAAACATTATGCCTTGTGCAACTTAACCACCACCCTGAGTGTTTGCTGACTGGAAGTACCAATGCCTAATGAGAATACACTGCCTGCCTGCTGCAAACCCAGAATTTTATTACCACTTGGGGTTTTTTCATTGCAAAAGCCATAACTTGCTGGTAATACAGTAAACTTTAAGCAATGCTTGCAGTGTTATTGTATGCAAGTTTTATATTCCAGCAGTGTGCATATTTTTATAGTTATAAGTATTATTTGCTTGTCATTGTAGTATGGTATAATTTAAAGATCTTAGGAGTCTGACCCTACTGTAACAGGGACCATAGCAAACAGATATTGAAGGTTTCAAGCCCCCATTAATTTACATCTGCAGGCCACAGCCTTTGTAAATGGTTGTACATAGGTTTTACTTTCTGGATGTCTTCCATTCCATGGAAATGTCACAGGTTTCAAATCCAGCACATACAGAAGTTTTGGCAAGGCAGGGGCCTAATAAGAAACAGCAAAGTAATACATTTTTTGCTCCTCACAAGGAGACAAAAATAGGTAGGAGAGTGTTGAGATTATAATAAAGGAGATTGGCAATGTTTACTGGGTCACAATGGATAAGCACTTTTTTTTTAAATTAGTATTATGAGTAGTTCCTGGTAAAGTTGTAACTCTTTGTCTGCTTCCTTTTTTCTCTTCCAAAGAGGAGAACTTGATAGTATTTTTATTTATCATTTAATTCTTCTAGCTCACTGCTGGAGAGTGTCACTCTCTGCTCAACTCTCTAAAATTTCAGCTATTCCCTATCCAGAAGATGTTCTTAGCCACCCTTTCTTTTGAGGCTGTCCCAGTGAAGGCTGCAATCTTTGTCCTTTTCTCTCAATCCCACAATGCCTTTGGTCAGCAGTAGATTCTTCTAGAAACACTTCTTTAAAATAGCCCAACTTGAAATACCAGCTGAGCTTGTAAAGCAAAGATAGCTCTCAAAGATTTCTTCAGCTAGGGTCAGAGCATATACTTGAGGAAATGAAACATTCATTAGTTGGATGCCAGATTATTTACACTTGTATAATGATCAATCAGGCAATAAGAGACTGGGGATGACATTCATCTCAACTAATTTTAGATATTTACAGCTTGGAATACCATATCCATATCTGAACTACTCACATTATGTTCTCTCTATAGTTGGTGGAGAGAACAGGCACATCCGCAGCACGGCTTTCCTGACCAGGTTGAAATATCCTGTATAGGATGTAATGAAATGCACCCTGGATGTGCCCAGTTTTCTCCAGAAAATACAGAATAAGGTCTGAATTTTCCTGTACATCTCTACTTGTGAGACATATATTTCCCACTCCCAGTGTTCATCACCTCATGTCCTAGTAGCTAGTGCTGAATGAGCTTCAAAAAATGGAAAACCAAACTAGAGTGACTGAACTTCATCACAAGAGTGTCTTAATTGCACCTTCCAGTTCTGACCACCCAGGTCACTACACTGCTGTCACTGCTGTAATGAGTGGCTTGTCTGTTTTCACAGCTCTGATGGAGAAATTAATCACAGGGAAAGAATTATTTCAGATGTTATTTCCAGTTTTCTTCCCATCACTTATTTACCATCTCACAAACTGCAGGCAGTAGTAAAGTGTAGATACAAGCATAAATATTCTATCTATAGACCTACCTATTTAACAGTGTGTAAAATAACTATATAACATTTATTCTATTTAATTTTGCTATAAGTAAAGGAAGGTGAAAATAGATTTCATTCCTCTTTCTTCCCCAATTCCACATAAATCAACCCAAACAGCTGTCATAGAGCTGAGCATAGGAGGACAGGTCACTTCACTGAGGTCTGAATAAACTTCCAAATGTTAAAACATGAGGGTTACCAAAATAAAGCTTTAAAAACTCATATGCCTGGCACAAAAACCCCCATGATGTGGGCTGGAAAATGACTTAGGGGCTCTTTTAATATCTTTAGAACTTGTGTTCTGTATTTGAACTGAAATGGAACTTGTAACTGTTTTAACACCTAACATTGATACCTAGATATCATTTTGTGATAGGTGTAAGAAAAGTGTGAAATGCAACTAGGTCCTGGTCACATTATCATTAAACCTCTTAACTAGGTCTTAACAGAGTGTCTAATAGATTTTTGGCTACAAAAGTTTAGTTCTTCTCATAGGGAAGGACAGTGACACAATATTAAGGATTCAGCCTTTCAAGACTAAGGCTGCTATGCTGTTTTTTGTTAGTTTGTTGTTTTGGGTTAACAGCGCTGGGTACCAAGAATTGAGTTGGAAAGGCTTTTGCCTTTTTATTAAGAATGCTTCAAAACATTTGAGCCAAAAAGATTTTCTATTTGACAGCATTAAGTGGGAAACAATACGCTGCAGTAAACAAACACTGAAACTTTCTATTTTATTCCAGCAGAATAAATTTAGATGCATTTACGTTTCATCTGACATGCTAAATTCTTGTAGTAAACAAGCCAAAGAAACCCAAATGGGGTCAGTGAACCAAAAACCTGGATTCAAAAGCCATTTATCTTTATGCCCGAGTCAAAAGTTCATTTCTGGATCCTTTCCTGACTCAGAGTTCAGATCTGGGTCCAAAACTTTCTGTTGGAACCAGTCTGCAAAACAGATGACTAATAAAGCTAACATAATGACACACATATATACACGAATATATCTCTTTTTAACGTGCAACTATAACTGAGGGCCAGGACAGGTTTAGATTTATTTTATGAAAAAGTGATTCA